GGGGATCAAATTTTCTTTTAAGGGATGGGAGAGTTATATACCAGACCCAAAATTTGGGCCCGAGATTAATTTTAACATTTTAAAATGTAAAAAAAATAGGTTAGGGATAAAATTGAAAACAATTTTGAAAAAAAAAAAGGTAAAAATTTGGGTTCATAGGGTGTTTTTAAAAGAAAAATAAAAAACTAGAAGTCAGAATGCAAATAAAAAATATTTGACCACGTAGAACTGCTTAGTCAGCAGTCTTAACGAATCGGAGCGAGCCGCGTGGCAAGGCACGCTAACTCAGTGTCACGTAGGACGCCACGCTGGCAACCCACGTGCCCTACGATCGCATGACCCAGAAGCGATTCCACACGTGTGGATGGCCAGGATCCATTTTCCCTTTAGGCGCGATCGGATGGTCGAGATCAAACGTGATGAATGACCCAGATTTGTTTCTTCCTTAGGAGCGATCAAACAGTTGAGATCAAACATAATGAACGATCCAGATTAATGCGATATGAGTATAAATATTTCGCATCACACTAAAACTAAACCCTAGCTATAAGCCTCCCGCCCGAGAATAAGAACTAGACGCTGGAGAAGAGAGCCGACCACCGACCCTGCCGCACCGAAGCTACATCTGAAAGCCAAAAAAGGTAAAAATTCTCTTACCCGCTTGGAATTTGATTTCGAGCACCCTTGTCGCCATATCAGAGCAAAACAAACAGCGAATGAGATAGAAACTGTGGGCAAAGCCCAGTAGAGCCGTCACGGGCAAAACTCGCAACCTCCTCCGATAAGCCCATTCCCATTTTTTGTTTCGTGTGATTTTTCTATCGTTGTGTTCACTGTTTTATTTTCTACAAGTTAACTGAAGAAAAAATCCCAGCCACGAAGGTGAGCCAGCGGAGCCGCCACACCCGGAAAACTCCACCATCGGTAAGTTTTCATTTTCTAATTTTTTTGCCCAATCGAGACCCCCTAACATGTTTTTTCGCAGAGATATGTATAAAGTCGGCCAAAATCGATCGAAAACGACTAGGCTGAGGCAAACCGTCGCTGCGGGTGGGGGTGTCATCGCACCGCCGTGTTGGAATCCCGAAAGTGGCCAGAAAGGATTTTTGGGGTATTTTTAGGTACGTGAAGTGTGTTTAATCTCCGCAGAAAAATTCAAAAAATCCGAGGCCCGCCAGTAGGCGCAGTAGAAAATTCGGTGTTTCAGATATTAATTCGGATAAGAATCTCTCACCCTATTCCCTGTTATGAAATTGAAGCTCAATAATTAATAATATGGTATTTTGTGAAATTTAGAAAACTTTGAGAATAATTACAGGTCACTAATGAAGACAAAACCTGTTAGTTATTTATTTGTCATGTCTAACTAGTTATTTAATTTTATATTTTTAAATATATAATAATATATTAGAATGATTAAATAATTCAGTTATGTTTACTTTATGCATATATCACTTGTCTTGCATGGTTTACTGTTGATTTGTGAAATTTGAAATTAATATACAAATGAGAAATTACTTAGTTATGTAAATTAATAAATGATTGTCTTACTGGATATTCTGAGAGATGGTGGACGAACTGGTTACATAGAAAATCCTACCGCGAACATTACCTTATACCGGATGGGGTATCGATATATGATATTTTTGGTACTCATACCGGACGGGATATGGGATGACCGGTTAGTTGACAAATTTAGATTTAGGTTCACGCGTAGCGGGACATTCTTATGGACCCTCAGAGATACCAGTAAGCAAATAAAAAGGGAAAGTTGTTATTCTTACTCACTTAAATATAAGATCATAATGTTATTTGAGTTATTGTCTCTATAGATCAATTTTGAAAATCTTGCAACGGTAAGTATGCGATAAATAATTTTCCTTATGATAAATGAATTTACTAAAATTAAGAGCTCCATCGATTATTTTTATGATTTTTACTAACCTTTAATTTTTGTATCAGTAAATAGTGTCATATTCTTATTGTACTAGTATATCTCACCCCCTCCCCTATTAACAATTTCAGATAAAAAAGATCAAGATCCTGATCCTAATTAACAGGAGGGCTGTTAGTAGGTGTCATCCCAGATCTTATCAAGAGCTAGTGGAGGTTAACATCTCTACAATATTTATTTACCATTTTCATATGTTATTACATTTTTTTTATGAACTGCTGTGAAAGAAACATTTCTATAATCCTATTGTACATGATAATTTATGTGTAAGGAATATAAATCCTAACGTTATTATACACTTCTACATTTAATTTATGACCTTATTTTTATTTAAGTTTCAAGTCTTTACAACATGAACGTAGTAGCATAAACACATCAACAATTTTCAGACCAATCAACTCAAAGTGACACATCAATATAGCTTTAAACTTGTAATGATATAACTTACAACGATATATCAATATAAAAATATAAAATCGACGCAAAAATGCAACCACAACATTAAGAAATTTCAAATTGTAGACCATGTTAGCCAAAAAGAGAACATCACATCAACTCATGCACAATAGCTCGAACAAAGAACATAACAAAATATGCAGCTTACCGGCAATAGTAATTCCCATTATAAGGGCAAAAATGATCCAAGAACTGTCCAAATTTATTTTTTTAAAATTAAAAAATTAACCACATTCTCTGTATTTTTAAAATTATTTTTATCATTTTAAATATAAAAATAACTTTATAAATAAGTACAATAATTATTTATTTAAATTTATAAGAATAAAAATAAAAATTAATTTTTAATTAACTATAATTTATTTATTATATAATTAATTTCTAAAATTATAATCCATCTGAATATATAAATATATTATATTTAAGAAAGTGAAAAATATATTTAATTAATATTAAAAATTTATAGAAAATTTTGCCGCTTCTAAATTTGACCCGAAACTAATCGCAGCGATTGCGTTGGAATCCATCGCCAACCCTCCATAGGAATAATTCTAAAATTAGGAAAATCTCAAATACGAAAAAGAAGGATCACGTGGCCAAGTATCTGAAGAACAGCGAGATTCACATGGGAGCAGGGAGATTAATCCAACGACAGTTGCACCAGCTCACGCTTCTAGAATTGGTCTCCATTTCAAACGCTTCTTACGAGGGATTTCTTCCTTCCCTCACCAAAGAGAACGGGTACGTCATGGTCGTCCTCTTTCAGAGAAAATCGCCTTCATCAATGTAAAACTCCCTATAGGTTTTTTCTTCTCCTTCTTTGACCTCTCAATCCACGGCTCCACCTAAAATTCGGTATCCACAATTTGACGTGGATTTTATTTGGTTTTGAATTTTGATTGAATCTTTTTTTTCTATATGTGGATCTTATCCCAGATTTCGCATCATTTGGGTTAGATTTATGTAAAACATTGTTATAATTTGAGGTGGTTTTGGATTATCCATCTTCGTAGTCTGCTAATTCTCTATATCTGTGGATGTATCTTGGTGTTGTCAAGGAAGCAGTTAAGCTTGTGAATTTGCCCAATTTATCTCTGGATGTTCTCAGGCTACAGGATTTTCCTCTCGAACAAAAGGTCTTTTCGTTTTCTATTCCGAGAGAGAGATGGACTAAAGAGTTGTTTAAGCTACAAGGTGGATAGTCCTAATTCCTTGAATTAACAGAGTTTGTTTATAGTGGAATCGGGGTTTGAGGTCAGTATTTATAGATGGGTTCTTCACAAGATCTACCTTGTCACCAAACGTGGCGGGACTTGTTGATGGTTCAACGAAAAGAGAGATTTCGTATGTTGATTCTTTGCCTATTTATGTTAACGAGCTCATTGCTGGAGGGCTGCTGGGGCCTTTGCTAAGACTGCTGTCGCACCCTTGGAACGGATAAACACTACTCTTACAGGTAAACACTTCTATTTCTCTGCATTTGCTTATGCAACATTTTACGAATATTTCATTTGTTGTACGTAGTTTTCTTTTTAGGATACTTTTGACGTACTAGTCATGATGTCGCCTGAGTGAATATTAATATGGACACTGTTTCATTCGCTCATAGATAGTCTAGAGAATATATATTCTGAGACTGGTGCATTATGAAAGAATAAGTAATTGCTTAGTTCTAGATTATAAATTTTCTTTCTGCTTTTGATTTTTTTGGAAAATGTGTTTAGTTGGTAAGTCGTAAAAATGGCTTTTACAGATAGAAAATTGGAAAATAAATTTAGTTTTGAAAATACATTATTTTTTTTATCAAATAACACTCAAATTAATATCATGTGCATTTAAATTTATTATATATGATAATTAAATATGTAGATAAACAACTACTTCTTTAATTTTCAATAAAATTTCAACATCACTTATTAGTAAAACATTTAGATACAATTTCTATTCTTAAAAAGTACTCTTCTATACCAATAATAATAATAATAATAATAAATGCTAGTGTGAAGTTCAATGATCCTTAACATGCTAGGCAGTTCTTCAGGCAACAATCCTTCAATGTTAAAGTTGGTAATATTCAATGGAGATAGTAAAAGTTCTGTACAGGAGTAACAGAATCAATATCTGTGCCTTAGAATGTAAGAGTATTTATAAGGGAATTCTTGGAGAGACACATAGCTTGTTGGGAGGAAGTTTTGAGAGATCCAATAAGTGAGGAGAGAGACATCGTTGTGTAAGGAGTTTGTTGAATAGGAATATTGGTCTAACTTGTTTGAGTGGCTTTGACACCAACATGTAAGGAGACTCCTGTTTAGGTAGGTATTGAGAATGCTTGTTGCCTTCACAAGGTTCTGTGTGGAATGTCTTGCATGGTCATTAGTTCCCGCATTACCTTCTAAATATATGTCAGTGAGATAGTTGCATAGGAAGATGAAGCAATTGCGTGGTGGTTTGCATCTGGTAGAACAAGTGAGTTAGGTCATTTGTGCTGAAGGACACATGGCGCTTCTTGCGTGTTCCGGCCTAATAGTCTTGTCATTGGTCCTAATGAGGTTCAGCGCTTATCTGGGGAGATGATAAGCTTAGATCAATATATGGTTATAAGATGTAAATACACATAAACATGTATATTAAAAATTATGTTTATAATTTATCTTTATGATTTTTAATGATAAGTGACTTATTTAATTGGTTGAAAACAACAATGATGATAATAACAATGACAATACTAATAATTCAAAATATCAGTTTATATTTTAAGATGAAGTCAAAATAATTTTTTAAGAAGAAATTAGAAAAATAAAATAAAATATTGAAAAAAAATAAAAGTTATTGAAGAACTAATAAAGATTACATGAGCTGACTTGGATTGTTGAAAGAGAGGAAGTGGTGGTTAGTATAAATTAAAATTATAAAGAAACGATGATGTAAGATATAATGGTACATGAAATGGTAAGAGAAAGTTGATGAAATGAGGTAAAGTTAAACATAAAACTTTGGTGAATAAAGTTATTTTGTAAACAATTTTACACCAAAAACAAATATAAGGAGGACGATGTAAGGTAGAGGTTGGGTGCTTGGACTGTTAGGATATATATGGAATTGCATAACTTCTGTACTTTGAGATGGAAAACACAAAATTTGTGTCTTCAACATTCTATACAACCGAAAAATAAAATTTCATACAAAACATTTTCAGTTTTGATCAAAGTAAACACATTTTAAGTTATTTCCAAAAATAAAAAAACTAAACAGCTCCTTGTTTTTTTTTCTCTTTTCTTGGTTCTTGATTGTTTACCACTATTCATTCTTTAAAATAATTTTTTTTTCCAGAATGCATTTTTCTGAACTACCCTTTTGGGTTTTTCACTAAATAAAAAATAAAACAACGGAGTGCTACTGGGATTGCTCATAAATGATGCATTTTACGTGCTTGCTTGATATGTTCTTTTCTGCTATGTTCTTGAGAGCTAATGATTAATGTTTGATACCATATTTGTTTTCCCAACTCTCTCTCTCTTTGTCTCTCTCTCTCTCTCTCCCTCACCTTTTCATTTTGCAGACAAGAACTGAAGGGTTTCAATCTCTTGGGGTTTATCAATCCTTAAGGAAGTTACTCAAGTATGAAGGTGTTCTTGGGTTTTATAAGTAAGTATGCAATTAGTTGACCCATTCTGTACAAAGGTACTTCTGTTACAAAGTTACTAATATATGGTTACTGATTTTTTTTAGAGGGAATGGAGCTAGTGTTATCCGGATCATTCCTTATGCAGCATTACATTTCATGACATATGAGCAGTATCGCAATTGGATTCTGAATAACTACTCTTCTTTAGGATCAGGGCCTGTGGTCGATCTATTGGCTGGTTCAGTTGCTGGAGGAACAGCAGTTCTATGCACATATCCTTTGGATTTGGCTCGAGCTAAACTTGCTTATCAGGTAAATTGTTTGCACTAACTCTGCTGGTTTCTTTGCTAGGTAATGGTGGCTTTATAAGTTTATTCTCTGTATGTCAACAAATTCATAGGCTATTCAAACTTCTGTTTTAGGAATAGGGACAAATCTTTGGTAGTGTATAGGTTTCTCGGTTAATTCACCAAGGTTGTTTGAGAGATGAGAGACTGCGGGATTTGCGTTTGGGTAGATTTTAGATTTAAATTTAACTGGATTTGGAGCAGGAATAAATGTTGAGGTAATTACTAAACTTTGCCTTTCAGAAGTATATTTTTCTTGAAGGAATCTTCATGTTCTTTAAATTTTTGTAAGGGATAGTCCAAAAATCCAATTATTTGTGATTTGATCCAAGTACCCTTTCTCACTAGTGTTTAATGGTTCTATAGATCGGGGGCACTAGAGGAACTTTTGGTTGCCAATTGAAAAGTATTTATCCTCGACCTCCATACAGTGGCATAAGTGGTACACTCTTAAATGTATACAAAGAAGGAGGAGCACGTGCACTATATCGGGGCATAGGTGTGTATGCACTTACAAATTTATAGATTTTGGTGCTCACTGGCTGAAGGATAACAAAGATCGGGTCCTAACCGTGTTTCTTCATGCAGGTCCAACACTCACTGGAATTCTTCCTTATGCTGGCCTAAAGTTCTATATATATGAGGAATTGAAGAGGCATGTTCCTGAAGAACATCAAAAGTCCATTTTGATGCGTCTTTCTTGTGGAGGCCTTGCAGGGTTATTTGGGCAAACCTTTACCTATCCATTAGATGTAGTTAGGAGACAAATGCAGGTAACTATAAATTTTCTGTTGTTCTCTCTTTTACTGTTTATCTGTGTAGTGCTATGTAAAGCATCAAACTATCAATTTTGCTTCCTCTTTAAGTGAAGATTGGGGTTGCTGAAGTCCATCTTGTTCTGGACTGCAAGTGCTGTATAAACCTTTACACTATGTTCGAAACAATTTAGTTCCACAAAAGATAAAATAGGATTCATTTACAAAATATTTTCATTCAGTTTCTATGACTTGTAGATAAATACTCAAATTCTAAGTATGAAATATTTTTGACTTGTAGATAAATTCTACATTCCTTTTGGAATTAATTTGTTCCAAGCATATATGTATTTATGCTCACCCATTAATATGCTATTTACATACAGGACGACTAATTCCAAGCCTATGGATCATTATGTGGTTAATCTGTCAAGTTTACAATCACATCTTATACAGTTTCAACATATTTTTTGTGTTAGCTTGATGTTGTAACAGGAATTATACTGACCTGGTGTTTACAGGTTGAAAATCTGCAACCTTCAACTCAAGGCAGTGTGAGATACAGAAACACAATTGAGGGGCTTACCACTATTGTCCGTAATCAGGGATGGCGTCAGCTATTTGCTGGGCTGAGCATTAATTATATCAAGGTAGTTATGATATGTTGCTTAGCTATGTTCATTTTCAAGAGCTTCATTTTTGTCTGTGCCTATTTAAATTTGTTCTGTAAATTTATGCAATGACATGTAATTACGTCACTGTAATATAAAGATCATCTCCATGACTAAACAAATCTCAAGGGCGGCTTGAGATATATTTTTCCAGTCTCCATTTGGCACTATTGTTTTCTATTAAAACTTGTATCTGTTGACAGACCAACTCTAGTTAAGTTGGTTGGTGTCTTCTCACCTCACTTAGAGGTTGAGGGTTCAGGCACTGACACAAATGGCTTTAGATGTGTAAGAATAAGATCCTAATCTGTTGTGGTAATAGAATTGGGAAAAAAAGGAAAAGAAAAAGAGAAATGGTGTTCACTTGAGAGACTTGCTGGGATGAGGTGGGGGTGGTGTTGATTATATGATGCACTCATGACTAGGTAGGATGGTGGATGTTTTTACCAATTTCAGAGTAGCCAAGAAATTGCAACACCTAAAATCTCAGTTGAACCATCAGAGCAAGGAGCATGCAGGTATCATATATGCCAAAAAAGGACTTGCAATGAATGGTACAATTCCTTGGGTATAAGAAGGAATCTGATATTGGTTTATCTCAGGAGGAGAAGGATGAGTGAAGCTTGAAGAAGTTGGAGCTTTCTAATCTCATGATTATATGAGAATCTTTAGGAAGCAAAAATCAAGGGCCAAGTTGATCAAAGAAGGTGACTTTAGCACGGGGTTCTTCATGGACTTGCTAGTTTCCATGGAAGATCTAACTGTACTTATTTATTTGTGGTCAGGTGTGTTCTCTTGATGACGGCTAAAAAAGCTGTTAGAGAGCATTTTACGAATCTCTGTTTGAATCGTTTGGCTTGGCATCCCAACCTTGATGGTTTAAGTTTCTTTGAGCTATTCCTAGAGAATAGAAATTGGGTAGAAAGGGAGTCTAACGAGGTCACAATCTTCTTATTCACCTGTAATGGGGAAGGCCTTGGGTCCCGATGGAATCTCCAAAGGCTTTTAGATGATACAGTTGGAATCTTTTCAAGGGGGATATCCTTCAGTTCTTTAGGGAATTTTTTCACAATGAAAAATTTTTAAGGAGCCTTAGTGCTACCTTTATGGTTATCTCAGAGGTGCAAGACATCTATAATGTGAAGTAGTTTAGGCTAGTTAATCTTACTGGCTGTGTATACAACTCAACAAGGTTATTGGCAGTGTTGGTGAATCTCGCTTTTACAGAGGGTAGACGGATATTCGACACCTTTGTGCTTGTGACCAATGATTATTGTGGATGTAGTAAAGAGGAAGAAGGAACCTGGTTTCTTATGTAAATTAGATGTGGAGACTGTGGCTCGGGACTTATTGATACTATATAAAATGTTAGTTGGTTAAGCCTTCATGCTTCTTGATACTGTTCTTCTTTGTCATCTCATAGAAACATTCTTGGAAAGCAAAGTTCATAATTTGGAAAACTTGGTTTATGTTGTGTGGTGATTGTACCCTTTTTTTTGTAGAGCTTGACTTGAATAGGTTTGTCATCCATTTAGTTATGTGCTTTTAGATTGAAAGTAGCAAACCACTGTGTCTGTCCTTCAATTTTGTTGACTGATGACTTTTGATTATCAATGTTGTTTTCCAGATTGTTCCTTCTGTGGCAATTGGATTCACTGCGTACGATACGATGAAGATTGGCTTCGGATACACCAGGCGGAGATCAGAATCAGCTGCATTAATTCTGACTTAAGGACCTTTTTTATCACATTTTTTTGAAATTGGCTTTTCTTATTTCTTTGATTGATCAAAGCCATGAAAATGTCAATTTCTTTCTAACTACTAGGATTTTTTTTTTTTTTTTTTATTGTTTAAAACTATGTAAAACTATGAAAAGAAGAAATAATTTAATAATATAGATTCTCTTTTACTGAATAAAATATTGGTTGTATTGATTGAAATATGTTTTTTAAGAGTGTGAAGTGCAAATTAAAAACAAAATCTGCATGCTTAGCTTTTCTTGTAGATATAAAGAAACTTTAAATAATGGTAGAACATTATTTGGATGCACTGTCGTTGAAATCTTATATTTTCATCATTCAAATGTGCAAATATCAGGATTTTAAAAAATTGACAGTAAATTGCATAATTCAATTTAAATTTTTGTAGTTCATTTGAAAATTAAATGGAGTTCTATTTTACTATAAGATAATATATTTCGAAAACAAGAATAAATCTTTAATTAATGAGATATCTTTTGAATCTTCCTTATGACTCTCAATATATAATTAATTATATATCAACCTATGTGATGATGTTAATTCAAATTTTATATATTCATCACTGAGTTAGTAATATTATTAATTATATGGTTAATAGTATAAAAATTCTTTTAATTATTAAAATATAAAAAAAAAATTAATTAAATTTTCGATTTAATTTAAAAATTGTTTTCAATTTGCAACGTCAATCTGGATTCAAACTAGTATGTTTCAGTGTACGCGTATATGATGGCGTGGCGAAATCTGAACCACCGGTTCAGAAGACAACACAGCAACATCTGTGACCTAGACAACACCATAAATTATCCCAAAAACTAGAACTTTCTAGAACTTGTAAGCAGATTGGCTGATATTTTGACGGAAATCTCTCTCTCTCCATCTTTTATCTTTCTAGAACTTTCTTATTCACCGTCATATTAATCTCTCTGTCTCTCCCCACCCACCAAAATCCAACACATTACAATCCCAAAGCGTCAATCTTTTTCCCCGGAAAATCTCTCTACAAAACCCAGTTTTTGTAAATACAGAACGTTCTCCGAAGGCATTTGCATGGACAGAGTGAGACAGAAAGTAAAGGAAGAAGACACAACGGCTGCATCATCATCACCATCATCATCATGTTCATCTTCGTCAACCTTCTCTGCGCAGCCAATGCAGGGTTTACACGATGTTGGTCCTCCTCCCTTCTTGACAAAGACATTTGATATGGTTGAGGATCGATCCACGGATTCCATTGTTTCCTGGAGCAGAGCTCGAAACAGCTTCATTGTATGGGACTCTCATAAATTCTCCTCCACTCTTCTCCCTAGATACTTCAAGCACAACAATTTCTCCAGCTTCATCCGCCAGCTTAACACATATGTAAGTTCTCTTTTGCAGTTCTCATCCGTTTTTATGTAGTGCACTTCAGCTGTTTGATTAAAAGCTTGACAGGAAGTTTGGAAAAGTTGGTGCAGGGTTTTAGAAAGGTTGATCCTGATCGTTGGGAGTTTGCCAATGAAGGGTTTTTAGGAGGACAGAGACATCTATTGAAGAGCATTAAGAGGAGAAGACATGTCTCGCACGGTACAGAATATCAAGCAGCAGGAGCTTGTGTTGAGTTGGGTCAGTTTGGTTTAGAAGGAGAGATTGAAATTTTAAAGAGAGATCGAAATGTGTTGATGACAGAGATTGTGAGATTAAGAAAACAGCAGCAGAATTCAAGAGACCAAGTTGAGGAAATGGAGAATAGATTACAAAGAACAGAGAAAAGACAGCAACAGATCATGACTTTCTTTGCAAAAGCTCTCAAGAATCCATCTTTTGTCCAACAATTTATACAAAATACAGAGGCAAGAAGGTTGCAGGATGCTGCAGTTGGACGAAAAAGGAGACTAACTGCAAGCCCAAGTGTGGAGAGTTTAGAAGAAGCAGCACTTGCTGGTATTTACCCTGGAAAGGAAGAAGAAGAAGAAAAAGAATTGGAAACTATTGAGACATTATTCTCTGCCGCCATGGACGACCCATCGAGTAGTGATGTGAAGGATCCTGGTGATACAGGGGACGACACTATCTGGGAGGAACTGATTATCGAAGATGTAATTGGTAGCAATCCAGAGGAGCAGGTAGAACCTTTAGTCGATGGAGAATCAGAATTTCCCAATTCCACGGATTGGTGTGATGATGACTTGCAACATCTTGTTGATCAAATGGGTTATCTGGGGTCAAATCCATGGTGAAACACATCTCTGAAATTATCCTCTAGTGCTATCATCTTCTATAATTTCACACATAATGGTATGTATCCATACAATATGTAGATGTGGGTCTTGCTTTTTCTGGTCACGTTGCTTCATGTATTTGGTTAGTAGGACTTACGGAAGAAAATTGTTTGTGATCCAGCAGGAAATGGTGAAAGTTCAAGAGCGGCTACTAGATAGATGTTCCAGTTCTTCTGTATCCTTGATGATAATAAACTTCTTTCAAGTTCTTGGTGTTGTTTGATGCAATTTTCAATCTATTCTGGTAGTTTGTAATCCTTTTGCTTCCTCTGGTGCATTTTGCAGGCAAGCCCTTAAACAGATACAGAAGCAATGGAAGAAGGATTGGAATCATAGACAGTTTTAGCTCTGGCCTCTGCAGATGAATTAATG